AGGAATAAAACTGAGTGAAAGAAAAGGTACTAATATAATAATTATATTTTCCAAACAATTCTTCAAAATCAAGAAAGGGTACTAGTATAATTTATATGTTTCAAATAATTCTTTTCAAAACTGTTTATTTTAGCTGGGATAGCAGGTCCTTTTATATATTTTTCAGATACAAAATTATTATAGTATTACTAATTAATACTATCTAGTATACAAAATATAATTAAAGTACTATAATATAAATAATTATGAGTGGATTACGTCGAAGTATGTTGAAAGATGTTAAAGAATATTGAAGAATGTTAGAGTACGTGAAAGAATATTAGAAGACGTGAAAAGATGTAGAAAGACGTGAAAAGACATAAAAGAATATGAGAAAATATCAAAGGATGTCAAAGAATATGAAAAGACATTTGAGATCATCATCCAAGTGTAACTGTTCCACCAAAAATTAAAAATAATCTTCCACTATACTATTCTACTATGTACATGAATATTATAATACAAAATAAAAATGTAGATCCCAAATTTTAAATAAAATACAATGTTAAAAATAGAAACACAATAATAAATATAGTAATAAATAATATAAAAAACAAAGATAATTATAAAATGAATAAAATCATAATAAAATATAATATTTCATAACTAGGGAAAAATTAAGGAATTAAGAAATTTTATGTCATTACGGTAACAATATTATATAAAAGTAATAAAATTTTTATAAATTTAATTATAATTCTTTTATTTGAAACTTGTATAGAAATTTTGACAGATTATAAATGATAATATTAATATATATTAATAATATTTTAAATAAAAAGATTTAGGTATAATACATTTTCTGCTACTTGTATATTTATAATATCAAACTGATTTTTATTAAATTTAAAATTCTGATATATCTAATAAAGTTCATTATTAATTTCATATTATAACTTTATTTTATTATTAGTTTTTTTTGCTAATTATAAATTAAGTGAGAGTATTCTATATATATATAAATTCAAAATTATTTTTAAATATTTTATTATAAGTATAATATCTAAATATCTTCTCATACAATCTCCTCTTTTTCTATTAGTATTAATAATATTTTGCTTTTCTAATATACTAATAAAAAAATATTCTTGATAGAAAGATTTTTTAATAAAGCTCAAATAATAAATACTATAACAATTAATTATTATATTTTCTTATTTAATATCTTTGCAAATTCAGAATCAAATACTGGATTATTTCAAATATCTTTTAAGATATTAAGAATTTTTTTGATTATATATTCAATATCTTCTTTTAATTCTTTCTGAGTTCTATTATATATTAATTTAGCTAGTTTTAATTTGATTTTATATCTAAATCTAATATAAATTTGCTATATATTTTTTAAATCATTAATATTGATATAAGTATTATTTTATAAATAAGTTTCTAATATAAATAATATATCATTACTAATATTAATAAAGAAAATAACTAAATATATATATAATTCTTTATTATAAATTCTTTTTTTAAATTTTCTGATAATTTTCTTATGAATTCTAATTCATTACTAATGATCTGATTGGTTAAAGAATCTTTTCAAGACAATTTTATATTAGATATCATACTTATATCAAAATATAAATCTTGATATAGAAGAATTATATCTCTTTTGAGTTTTTTTTTTAACTTAATTATATTATTTTTAATTTAATTTGAACTAAGAGACTTTTCTTTATTTATTTTAATAACTTTAAGATTATATAATGTAAAAACTTCTTCATCAAATTAAAAATATAAATGTATTAGTTTTTAATATTAAAAATCTCATCATAAAAAATATATATATTATCAGTATATATATAAAGTTATCATTTTTGTATGGCCATCATGCAAATAAAATTCTATGTGATATTAATTTACTATATAATAATATAACTTTAATATCCCTTAATAGATGATAATTTTTCTCAGCAATAGATTAATAGAATAAACTATATTATTGCATAACAGTCTATAACTTAAATATCTCTCTATTATTGAGCAAGTATTTACTGTGAGTGAATTAATGGGATAAACAAGCTACTTTTTGATATATGAATCTGATAGTAGATCATATAATATCATTATATAATGAAATATTTTAATAAAAAGTTTAATAGCTAACCTGTAAATAAATTCTAAAAAGCTTTTGTTAACATGGAGATCTACTTGGAGATAAATTACTAACATAACTAATAACTTAGTTTATAATTATTCTCAATTCATTTTGCAGAATTCAGAAGTTTTCTTCTAAGCCTTGATAAATAATAAAGATGACATTTATATGACACTCTTCAGTATTGATCAAAAAATTATGTAAATCAGCAGACATATTGATTAGTTGAGTTTGAAAAATAAAAGCTTTGTTATATCACAAATAAAAAATGACAAATAATCATAATGTAGATATACTGTCCTTTTAAAACATTTTCGTCCATCCATTTCTGCCTCATTTAGGCATGGAAACAATAGGTTTAGGGATTGTGAAACTGGAGCAATGCATGACGAAAAAACTTTTCACAAAGAAAATGCGTATACCACGAGTTAGTAACAATTAGCAGGTCACATGATTACATCATGCATGAAAAGTTCCATGAACTTCTAATTTATTCTGTAATATAACATGTGATATATGTTGATCGAACATCTGTGTTATGCAATCGATTGTGATTTTCATTAACTCGGAATTTTTATTCATATAACAAAAAATATAACCAAACATTCGGGTAAAATTTAACTTTCCTCATTTATAGATTCCATATAAGAGGGTGGCTGACTACCGCCTTCTATATCGGGCATACTTAAATCACTATTATTTTGTGATGCAGATATATTAAGGGTTGAGGTAATATCTGTCAAATCATCTAAATTCTCATTTGTATCATCTATGTTATCTATGTTATGGCTTGAATTTCCACCTACATTATTTTGCGTTTCATCTCTGGCCTCATAAGGTAGTGGTTGAAGAGATGATACTTCGATAGAGCTGGCATGGCCAATATTTTGCTCAGGATTTTCAACACCGGGATTTTTTTGTATTAGTGACGATTCCATCACGGTTTGAAGATGGATAGGGAGATTGACTTCTACTTCTTCGACTATCAATAGATGTTCTCCGGCTTCTTCGATTACCCGGCGATATTTGGCCTAATATATGCTCAACTTTCCTAATAGATGGTGGCGGTGTATTATTTTCCCCAATTACACGTCATCTACGGTTAGAACTATTCATATTACGGATTCTTTCGAAATCATCTTCAGGCCTCTCCCAAAAATGTGTACAGAATTCGTTAAAATATTGCGTGCCCATCCGGCTTCTTCGTGCTCTTCTATTGCCTCACACATCGACTAATCATAGATTTCGGCATTTACTAGCATGAATTGAGTTACGTAAAAAATATCCCGATCAGAGTGAATATTAACTTACATTGTAATCCCGAACAAGATTCATAAATTTTTCTTTACATTGGTACCCATTAAAGCTCGTATTGTGATCTCGATTAATTCGGTTGCAATGCTAGCCCAAAATTCGGTTCGATTCCTTCCAAGATTATGATATTCCTCATTTCTATTTCTATGTTCATCAATGAGTATACGGATTTGAGCATCTGTCCATTCGATCATTTTTAACGATAATTGAAAGTTAAAGATTTTGCAATGCTAATATTGTGTATCACCGCACCTCAACCGTACTTCACCCATACTTCAACCATAATTATCATATGATATATTGTATAATTAATTATTTTACCAACCGCACTTCCAATTTATTATCTATGGACGATCTTTCAAAACGATAGACATATAAATACGTACTAGTTCATTTACTTTTTTTCACGTATAATTAACCGAATTCGTATGCCTCGGATTTGTATGATTGACTTTGTGACAACTTGGCGTGTGTATTTTCTTTGTGAATTTATCATGCGTGAGTGGTCAGTTGATACACTTGTGCGACTTTCTTTTCTTTTCTCACGTCGAATAAAAAAATAATATATAAATACGTCAGTACTTAATTAAATTCACAAACGCAATATACAGTATTAATAAAATGCAAATTGGAACTAACACTGGTAATGTACCTTATTTAATATTAAATTTGACCACGTACATTTAAAAAAATGTTTTTCTGACAATGTAAATACAGAATTCCCTAAAGATATAACCATACCAGAAGCTCTTAATGTTCCGGCTGGAAACGTCTTCAAATTCGCCTTATATGGAATCGGAGTAGCGGGCTATAAGTTTAAGAAAAGTGAATCTACTTGGAACATTTGTATGTAATATGAGTTCGTTATTGATTTTATATTTGTTTGCATGATATATAAAACTCGTTATCGTTCTCGTCTATTTTATTTATAGGCAAGGGCGATACATTTTATTTTAATCATCCTAAAGATATATCCTTTAATTCGGGTTCAATCGTAGCTATGTCATCTGCAGTCGGATTGGGTCAATGTATGGATTCCAAATCTTATTTAATGTATATAATCTTTATAATATTCTAACCTGATTATTATTTCATCTACAGCTGGTGAAATTCTAGAAGGACCTATAAAATCTCTTATTCCAGGAGATACATCATTATGCGCCGGTAAAGGTACTCCTGATTATCATCCTGAGTTAAAGACTCTTCGTGGGGTAATAGGTAAACCTACGGTATGTTTTTTTTTCTTTTACCTCTTTAATAATAATCTTATAACTATAATTAATGCAAAATAATATTACATAAAGACCTATCAAGGAGAAACATTTTCTGATATTACTTATGTGACAAGTCACATCAGAGAACATGCCCTTCCCACAGAAATAGATTCCGATGGATACGTTTGTAGCATTCCTATCAGTGTTATTCTTTTATTTTATAAGTCTGCATGACTTATTGGCTGATTGTTTTTTGTAATAAATTATTCACGATCAAAAAATGGTCGTGTAATGGTGCGTATTAAAAAAGATTCATGTGATTAAAGCGATCTTGATCACGTATATACTCCCGTGAATAACTATGTATGGGTCTTCGTAATAACAAATATATCTTAAAACAATCCAGTTTTCTTCGCACAATTCATTCTTGAGTTGATCCCGTGCCTACTGTTTGATAAAATTATCAGGATCTCTATGAAAGAATTCGATATATTTTTCATGTTGTTGTCCCTGTACTTCGATAGCAAACCCATAATCCGGATAATAAATATCTAGTTCTAATCCTAATGGATGTTTAGGTGCTTTCAAAAAATCTGGTCTACGATTTTCAGATGGTGGACCAAGATACTTTGTTACAATTTCTCGACATAATTGTTCGCGTTTATATTTATAACAAAATGGATCACTTTTCACATTACCAAGTGATGCTTGCCATAAATGGCCTTCTTTGCAACACCATGATAATGGCAATTGATTATTTTTATACTCGGTTGAAAGGCATTGCCATGTCTAGATAATGCAACTTGCTTCGCATCCTCAAGGGTAAATTTCATATTACCTGCGCAATATGGGCACAAACTTCCCTGTTGAATGCTGTTTAAAGTGGCTTTCCATCTATGATTATTTTTACAAATCCATTCCAATTTTGTTTGCGAATCATAATATTGATCTGAAAGGCAGTCCCTATTTTTCATTTGCGCGAGTTTATGCATATCCTCTATTGACTGATATCGACCAATACAAGATGGACACCATTGTTCTCTATTTTTAATATGATCAAGTTTATTTTGCCATTGATGGTTGAATTGACATTTCCAAATGAGCGGATCATTATTATTTTTATATTCAGTTGAAAGACATTCACCATGCCTGGATAATGCAATTTGTTTCGCGTTCTCAAGAGTTAATTTTGTATTACCTGCGCAAAATGGGCATCATGTTCTAGAATATTTAATGTTATGGAACAGGCTATTCCATGTCATTAGGGTGTTAGAATTTTTATATGTGATTAAAAGACATTTGCCATTTCGGCTAAGTGCAATTTGTTTGATATCTTCAAGAGTAAGACGGGCATTACCTGTACAATATGAACACCACTTTCCACTTTTCACATTATCAAAAGATGAACACCATAAATAATTTTTTTTACAATGTCACAATAATGATAATTAATTACAGTGCTCGTCAGAAGTAACCTACCCCCCCCATAACTTTCCGTAGATCATGTGTAATGTACCAAAATTTTCCGAACACAAAGAACTACACAAACACTGATCATTTACATCTTTTATAGGCCAAATTGGGCATTCGATGTTCACCAAACTTCTATACACAAATAATGTCGCTCCCAATTCATAAACGTTATGAAATCGTTTTTTTACACACACACCCCAAAGGTCCAAAGCTTGAGCTTGAAGCTACAGCTAAATACGTTTACTGTAGTAAGCTCACGGTGGTTTATTAGGTACAAAGATGGCAGGAAACAAAGAACCTAAATGATTAACCAAAATCTGGCAGAAATCGATTGACAACTCCAAAGCAAGATGAAAAGATTATAGAGCTTGCACAGAAGCAAACTAATACAATTACTGCTGATATACAACAGGAAATAAAAAAACAAAATATTAATGTTAGTTTGAATACAATTTAATGACGTTTACATGAAGGTGAAGGCAAATACATAGCAAAACTTTCCAAACCTCTACTTACCGATATCCATAAAGAAAAACAGTTAGAATGAATGAAAAATTATAGAAATTTTGACTGGAGTAAAGTCATATTTTCAGATGAAAGCACATTTCATTTAAACTAGTCATCATTTAAGATCTGGCAGTTTCCTGGACAAAGAAAAATATTCTGGTCTGTGAAGTATTCATTAAAAATCAATGTATGGAATTGTTTTTCTGCTTTGGACTTTGGTGAGTTAGTCTACTTTCAGCGGAATCTCAATGCTGATTTTATGATTATGATATACAAGCATGGTCTTCTACCATCTGTTGAGTATCTTTTTGGGAATGATTCTAAAGGGTAAATCTTGCAAGAGAATAATGATCTGAAATACTATTTGAAATTGGTAAGTCATTAGAAGAAGGAAAACAACATTGAAGTTCTTTCATGATCATCAATATCACCTAACCAAAATTCAATTGAGAATGTTTGGAGGTTGATAAAAATTAATATTGCAAAAAACAAATTAGAACACTTACTGGATTAAAAGTATAATTAGTAAAAGAATGGAATCACTTACCTGATGATCTTGTTGCAAATCTTATTCATAGTATGAGAAGTTAGGTTGAGGAGTTAATTGAAGCTAAGAGGGATTATACAATATATTAATGATCAGGATATATTATAAACATTCTAATAAAAAAAAAGATTTTATCTTACCTTTTAGTCAAGTTATGAGGGATAGGTTATTTCTGATGAGCACTGTATTTCTATATATAGTTGAAAGACACTCTTCATATTTAGATAATACAAATTTTTTGATATCTTCAAGAGTATATTTTATCTTATCTGCATAATACGAATATCATGATTCAGAATTTTTAACTCTATGAAGTGAGACACTCTATATATAATTCTTAGAATAGCATTATACTAATGAAGTTTTATTATCTTTGTATTCAGTCAAAAGATATATTCCATTATGAGATTTGATAATAATACAGGTATTATTTAGTGATAGTTTTAGAGATATTGAGAAATATTTTTTAATCTTTGAAATCTTGTTCTATTTATTTAATTTCAAAGAGATATCTCAATCAAGTCATATACTAAAAGGATTATCAGTTGGTTTAGTGAAATCAAAAACTATACAATTTTAATTTCATAGATGCTTATTAATAATTTTAAAGGCTTTTTTAGGATCATTTACAAGCTGATGCAAAATTTGAATGAGATCATCTTGAGACTCCCCATTGTTAAATAATGCAAGATGGCTTAAATTTTCATAAATTATTTTAGGTATTTATATATATTTCTAACTCACATATATGAGTGAAATATTTTGATGGCCACTAATAAAGTAAGAAATAATTTATTCATGAACTTTCTTTGGTTTAGCACATAGATTCTCAAACATAATAACTATACTTTGCTTTGGAGAGAATTTAGTTATATCTGGAATTTTATCTAAAGATATCCTTTTAAATGTGACATCTTCTCAATATGATTTAGATGTATTCATAAAGATCTGAAAACTATTTTATACAAATTACTATTTTGACTTAAAATACTTACTTATTAATATGAGATTATTATTTTTGATATAATGATTTTCTTTCTTATCTTTAAATATTTATTGTAATTTATTATCTAGCATAAGATTAATAATCATATTTATTTTTCTATTATTAGATCCTTCATATACTAATAATTTAAATAAGTTCTCTAATAAAAACTTATTATTTTTCATTTATTCTAAGAATTTGTTTGATATTTTATTAGTATTATATACAAATATGAATATATCTTTCTCTTTTATTTCAAATAAACTAAGAATATTAATTTATTATATTAAAAAAATTTTTATTATAAATTTTTATTCATTATATATTAAATAATCCTTTTTTTCTAATATATACTTGATATAAGAAAATAAAACATAATCAAATAGAATATAAATAAGATCTATATCTTGCTTTTTATATATATTTCACTTTTTTTAATTATGCATTCTTTATGAATCTAAATTAGACTTGCTATTAGGATGAAAGTATTTTGAAATAATATTAAAATATTAAATACTCTGAAATTTAAATATAATAAAAATATATCTATAGTATCTCTTATTAATATGATAAAAATAAATTAAATATTATTTGAATTTATACTTCTGGATTTTATAAGATATATACTATTGATAAAGTTCTTTTTTGCAAGATCAGAGATATATATTCATTCTATTTATTTATCCAATTTTCATAATACAAGCTTTATTTTATTTCTTTATATAAATTTGAATTTAAAATACTTCAAAATTTAATTAGTTATAAAATATCATAAAAATAAGTATATTTTATATAGCATAAAATATTTATTAATATATAAAATCAGTAAATACTAGTGATGAAAGCTGTAACTAGTTATAACTCTATTATAATTTTCTAATTAGCTATCACAACTCTGTCATAATTCTCTGATTAGCTGTCACAAGCTGTAACTAGTTGAAAAACTATCTTTAGTAAATACTTTATTAGAATATTAATTCTATAAATTTAAAATAAGATTACTATTAAATATTTAATATATTAATATTAAGATTCAAAAAGATTAATTGATAAGTTTTAGTATCTATAATTCATTTCAAATAGTTTTTTCTAAATCTTTATTATTATATCATATATAAAAGAAATATATATTATTTTTATTATCATATATTAATTAATATTTTATCATCTCAAAATAATATTACAATCTTTCAGAATTTTATAGAGTATTAAAATATTATAATAAAGACTTACTATTAAAAAATATAAGAAAAATAAAGTAAATATACAAATCAGTATAGAAAACTTAAAGAATTTAATATTAAAAATAAAGTTCTTTTCTTTATTTATAATATAAAAACTTCAGTTAATAAATAAAGAATAATCAAGAAACTCATACCAAAATTTATTAGACTCTTTAAAATTATTAGCAAAATATCTTCTATCATCTATAAATTACAACTATTATATAATATTAAATTATATCTAGTATTTTATATATTATTTTTAAAGAAATATAATTCATATAATGAATTTAATAAATATTAATCATTATTAGCAATTATTATTTCAGATTATAAAGATAAAAAATATTCTTAATAAAAGAATTTATTATTATAAATCTTAATATTTTGTTAAATAGCTCAGTTATTCTCTATATAATATAATATAGAAATCTTTTGAGAACTTGAAAAATATTATAAAGAAGATTAATATCTTAGAAAAATTATATATATAATAAGA